GTAAGCCAGAACAGAGATGAGTCACACAGTGGCAGACAGCCCCATGATGGGGAGAGGGGCTTGAAGAAATACTAAAGAATAAAAACCATTGTGTCAATCATGCTTAGAGCAGAGAAAGAAGGAAGGGTAATTCAGAGCAGCATGGCTGTGCTCTGTAAGAGCCTTGCAAGGATATGGGAATAAAGGAAGGAAAGTACAATATTTCATCAAAGTGAATTTTTTTTTACAAATCTATTCTTCAGCAAGGCTTAAGGCACACCCATCTTTTAGGGGTGGTCCTTCCTCTTGGTATAATGTAGGGTATAATCTCCTGGCCAGGTGATTGGCCCATGCTGTGTGAATGTTGAATCTCCAGTCAATCCAGACATTCTACTGTGTTGGATACAATGAGTTTTTCTTTAATTAACTTCTTTGTCAATCTAATTTTTTGTACAAAAATTATCCCTGGTCAGTATTCCAGGAATTATGAAACATCTAACTAGATCAAAGATACAAAGAAAAAGACAATGACTTGTGTGGGGGTCCTCTCCCTCTAGGCCTGTTAGCCACGAGATTGAGAGGTGAAAGAGGCAGATGGGGCAACAGAAATATTTGGTGACCCATGAGCAGGAATGTAGCTAGCTCTTTGGGATACAGATTTCAGTGAATAAGTTCAATTTTATTCCAGAGTATAAGGAGCGTATAGGATTGGGGAGCTAAGGGACAAACCCTAATTCGCATTAGTTGGCACACCCCTATCACAAGGCTTAGTATGTACAATAGGGTCCTATAGCAGACAAGTCTTCTTAGTGGCGAATCTGTGCAAGGCCTAAGTTAAAGAAGAATCAGGCATTTGGTTTCAGAGACAGCTTTTGGATTAGGTCATTTTTCCAGGCCTCAGGACATTCTCCAGATAAAGCTAGGTAGAAAGCAGGAAGTTCTGCTAGAGGGAGGTGGTTCCATTTTGTCCAACTAATAGAAAAAGCTGCTAGGCTTATGGCAGGCTGTGACCTTGACCAGTCAGCCATGGCTTCCAACATCTTCCTGTTTTTGGTTATTAATGAAGAGGCATTACTGTAAACCTTCGGGAATTTGTCGCCTGTGACAGAAGAGTTCAGGGTCTGGTAGTGAACCATGACCTTATTGTGGTGATTTTAGCAATGGTACCGAAGTCAATAAATAAGGCAGGGGGCAAGCATCCAAATAAAACAGCATAATCAGAGGACTGACAAAGGGTGGGAGCCAAGATAATAAGGGGTTATGGATCCAGATAATTTGCTCTATGGCTGGAATTTTTAGAGCAGGTCTTTGTGGAATATTTTGAGGTGGTATCATTAATTTTTAACAACATTCGATTTGTTTACATAGAAGTAACATTCTTCTCTAAATACCAAGCAAGTCTTCCCATATTCAGTGGTTATTATGTCTAGTGTTCTTCTATTAAGGAGCACAAAACCTGCAGGATGGTTCATCTGTCTTTGGAGTGACTGGAGGCTCTCAGTTGTAGATGTAATTGTCTGATCAAGTCTGTGTCTGAAGTCTCCAGGCAGAGGATGTGTCTGGGTGATGGCAGTTGTTATTGCCCTGGAAGATCAAAGGGAGATGGCAAGTCCTATTTCTACCAGTACAGGAAAGAACAGCTCTCATCTTTGGTTAATAGCAGTATTTCTCCCTCCTCGTCATATAGTTAGACCTGTGGAATAACCACAACAGGGGTACAAAACCCTGAATTCAGAGTGTTTGAGACCATGATGGGAGAATAGAGGAAGGATGGCAGTGAAAGCTGAGAGTTCACATCTTGATACTCCATAAGTGGGAAGAAAGTGAACTTGGGATGGTGAGAGTTATTTAAAGTTTAAAGAAACTTTAAACTTTAACCTTGGCCCCAGTGATAAACCTGCACCGAAAAGGACACACATCTTTATCCTTTCCAAACCGCAACCACCTCGAAAGCTAGTATTAAAATGGCAGAGCCTTATATGGTGTACCTTATCCAAACCACAACAGCATGAAAGTCAGATAGTGAGAGACTGCACCTGTTCCCTGAGACAGAGCCTGCCAGCACCCAACTGGACTAAGAGAGTCCACTAGTGCCATTTGGACTAAGAGCTGCTCCCTGAGACAAAGAATCCATCAGCATCTACTCGACCAAGAGCTCCCACTGGATCAAAAGTATCAATCAGACCAAGAGAGCCTCTCTCAGACACAGACACTGCTTGCACTGAGTGGTGAAATAGATGGGTAGACACCAGTGCCAAAATACAGTCAACAACATAAAAACAATATGGCTCCATCAGAACCTACAAAGGCAAGACCTGAACATACCAACACAGAAGGAACAGAAGATATCTATTGGTGAAATTATTTAGGCAACTCCATGTAGTTAAAAAGGGAGGTTTATTTTGTGGGGTAACTCACAGGTGAAGGGATAGGTAACAGGGTCTGGGAAAGGTGTAGCACAGTCTGGCGGTGTTCTTTGGAGAACTCTGCTCGGTCTACCTCCAGTGTCCACGATCCAGGAACAAAGAAGGCTGGCACATCTGGATCTCAGGTCTTTAGGGTCCCCTCTTGGCCCCGCCTTGTAGGCATGACAGTTACCTCAGCCTCAATGGGGGTTGGAACTTCCAGATCAAAGCTAGAATGGCTACCCAATACAGATATCTTCCATAAAAGTGACTTTAAGAATATACTAGAGATCTTAAAAGAGGAAATGAAAAATTCCCTTAAAGAAATCCAGGAAAAGTCAAACAAAAATGGAAAGCAATCAGTAAATCCCTTGAAAGCCAAGAGAAAGCAATTAAACAAGTGGGGGAACAGTTCAAGATTTCAAAACTGAAAAGGAGTCAATAAAGAAGACACAAACTGAGGGAATGCTGGAAGTGGAAAATCTGAGTAAATGAACAGGAACTACAGATGCAAGCATAACCAACAGAATACAAGAGATTAAAGAGTGGATCTCTGGTGTTGAAGATACAGTAGAGGAAATAGATTCATCAGT